CCAGCAGGCGGGCTGCTGCTGCTCACCAGCTTCTTTCCAAGGTGAGCCTGGGTCGCTGCAGACAGTGGCAACCCCCTCTGCCCCCACGCTGCCTGAGGCGATGAAAATTCCATCGACTAGTCAGTTGATTAAATTTAACATCCCTACGCACAATGCATAATAGTTGCTTCATCTACCATTCTTTATAGCCAGCTCTGAAATGAAAATATGACATACATTTTTCAGTCAAGAGTGTTCTTAGTTAAGAATGTATAATATCATATCCACTTCAAATGTGAAAGTATATAGCTGCTAGAATATAAATATTAAGGAAATTGATACATTAAAATAGATTTTAAAGTGCAAGAAAAGCCTAATCAACTCATGACATTATTTACTAATGCCATTTTTCAGATAAATTCATTCTACTGATCAGCTCAACTTTATAAGAATAAACAGAATGTGATAAGTACTTCTTCCTAAACAAATCATTATACAAGTAGATTTTTTTTGCTCTGTATTTTTTAATTTAGAAATGAAAACTGTTGATGTTTGCCATTTGAAAGCTTTTCTAGTTCTACTCAACTTCTGTTACTATTCTTTGACTAGTACTTCATATTCTGAATTCTGTTTAGAACTGGTTTCAAAGCACAACATTGACAACACTCCAATTGTGCACTTTCATTGTGGGAAACAAACACTCTGTGCAAGTCTTTGTTGCTTTATATAAACCTCAACAAATTGATACAGAAAATGTGCAAGTCTGTGCCAAGGGGACAACAGAGAGGATTTTGTAGTCAGTCACCAGCTTGCTGGTGAAACATGTAGTGCGCTAGCTGTTACCACATCACTTAAACAGTATTGTTTAGAAGATGAACTGCAAACATCTTGATTTTTTTTTAATAAATGGAAGGAGTAAGATTTTTTTTTTTAAATGGAGATTGTGGAGATCTGTTTTGGTTACTTCACAGATGTAGATTCACAGGGATGCATATGCCATGCTTCCCCCTCCAGGAGCCATAGGTGAGGAGAAAGGCTTCAGATTTCCCAGCCTACTCATAGTGGCTACAGGGGATGCCCGGTTCTGGCAGTGGCTTCCCAGCATATAACAGGAACAGCTGATCCAAGAGACAGCAGAGATTGGCTGCTTAAACTACAAGGGCAACAGCAGCAAAGGTCTTTGTTTTCAGGACCTGATCTCGGTTTTGGATTTTCATTGGATAGGAGAGGAGCGAGATTGTATTTCTAGGTGTTTTGAAGCCTACTCACACTTCTCTTTTGAAGTTCATGAGCAAACTTAACTGTGCCTCATAATGATCTTGAGGGCTCGACAAATGTAATCTACTCGCCTGTGGCGAGTAGATTACACCCTGGAAGAGCCGGCGCAGAATGATCTGCGCATGCACAGAGCGCAGAACCATGTGGCTGGCAAGCCCTGATGATCTTGGTGGGGGAGGGGTGAAAAACTTCAATTTTTTTCAGTTAATTTAATTTGGAATCTCAAATGCTAAAATGATTCAAGCCTAACTATGATATTGCATAGAATTTCTACAAGGCATACTTAAAGATGTTTGATGTGCTAACTTTGTGTTTGTGTATCTTAACATCAGAGGGGTAGCCGTGTTAGTCTGAATCTGCAAAAGCGGCGAGGAGTCCTGTGGCACCTTATAGACTAACTAGTCCTGTGTCCCCTTAAAGACTAACTGAAGTGTAGGAGCATAAGCTTTTGTGGGCAAAGACCCACTTCATCAGATGCAAGCATCTGACGAAGTGGGTCTTTGCCCACGAAAGCTTATGCTCCTACACTTCAGTTAGTCTATAAGGTGCCACAGGACTCCTTGCCGCTTTTGTATCTTAACATGTTAAGGTAAACTTGAAGCAAATCTTAATTTTCTAGGTTTATAATGTTTTTCTTGGGGATAATTTCAATATTTATATCCTGTATTTTACTGTTAATCTCAACTATGACTGTTTTAATAGTGGTTTTGTCTGGAAATGTAGTCCTTTCAAATGACTGTATCACCTGCCCTCCATTATTATTTTTTATATCACTGTGGTACCTAGAGCCGTCACTCAGGATTGGGGTATTTATTATGTTAGATGTTGTATAAACATGTATTGAAGTCTAGATCTATAGTTTAATGTTTTGCCAGTATAAATATCAGTCCATTATAGTACTCTGGCAAAGCCCTTCCATTGTAGATGCAGTTTATGCTATAAGATAAGTACTTTTGCTGGTATAGCTTATCTTTATTTGCTAGCCAAACAAGCTATACTGATAAAAGCACTGTTACACTAAGTTGCCAGCATAGAAATGCTATAAATATCTCTCAAATTCCTGACTTGTAGAGGCAAAAGTTCCTAATACTAATATGGCCTAAAACAGTCCTTCCTTCAAAGAGAACGGTAGGTGCCCAGCACTTACAATAGTCTTGTTTATGAAGAAAAATTGCTAAGCCTATAGGTCTTCAGTTTCTTTATTACCCTATTCTAGTTGCTAGGAATTTTTTTTTTTTTAATTCTGGCTTGTTGGACTGGTACTGAGGGCAATTGTCATGTTACATAGACTTTAATCTTAGTTGTGGTGACAGATTTTCCATTCACACCCTCTAGCACTGACTTCCTTTTGATGGAATCTGTTTATTCTAACCCCACCTTAAAACCAACAAGCGAGTTTGACTAAGAGCTAGCTAGTGATTTATTATAAATTCAAGCTTTCTTGTTGAATAGTGAAAATATGTTTGAGTACAGGCTGAACCTCTTTAGTTTGGCACACTCTGGTCTAGCAACACCCATGGTCCAGCATGATTTTAGTTAGCTTGATGTCCACTTATGGTCGTGGCCAAGTTTTCCGTGGTCCCTTAAAATTTGTTTACAGCCACCAGTCATGGGTCTGTGTTCTGTGCTACTATTTAGCACTAATTTACTCCTGAATTTCTTCTAAGAACACAGTAAGCAGTAGAAGTGTTAGTAATGCTGCTAGAAAATATTGACCTTCCCTGGTTCGGAAACTCTCCAGTTCGGTGCCAGTCAGGTAATGAGAGTGCTGAATTAAAGAGGTTCAACCTGTACTTTCAAAGGTGACGGCTTCTGTCTTTTTTTTTTTTTTTTTTTTTTTTAATATTGAAAGCTGGACTGAGAGGTGAGTAATGGGAACAGATTTTTACCTAGATGTTTCAGCATTACGTACATGTGTTTATCATGTCTTTTCAACTACTGCCCCTTCTCTTTTTAAACTCTAAGGTGAATGAATGTACCATACAATAGCAGTTTGAAGTTTCTCTTCCAATTTCATCTTAGTTTATCTCCAATCTCTAATGTCACTGTTCTAGCCAGCTCCATTGTTGCCCTCCTTGATGGGTCAGCCATCTTTGACACAATTGACCATGGACTACTTGAAATTTTGTCCTCTTTTGACTTCTGTCTGTCTGTCTCCTGGTTTTCCTTCTACCTCTCTAATTGCTCTTTCTTTGTATGTCTTGTAAAGGATTCTCATTATTTCCCCCTTCCACCAGCTTTCTTCAGGGGTCCCACAGGGCTTTGTTCTTTTCTTCATGGCCTTCTCTTTTCCTCTACATCTTATGTCAGGTAATCTCATCCACAAACTGCATTCAACTAATACTGTTTATCACTTTATCTTCCCACTTTCTGCATAACATCACCGAGGTGTAGTAGTTATTCGTTCATCCATGCAGCTAAAACTCTCATTCGCTTGCATCTTGATTACTGCAATCTTATCAAGAATGCTGCTGCAGAACACTTTTCTCGTCAGTTTCTTTGACTATGTAATTTCTCTCTCTCTGGAATCCCTTTATTGTCTCCCACTTCTTTCACATTTAACAAGTTACCTAGCTTCATTTTAAGGCCTTCAGGCCTTATCCCTGCCATATCAATCATCTCCCATTTGCTGTTTTGCTATTTGACACTAGCATCTGATCAACGCATGATCTTAGCCTCCATGGCCCACTTGTTAAATTTTCAGATAAACTCTTTGTGCTTTCTCCTGTGCTGTTCCACATTCCTGAGAGAATATCCATAAAACTATCTCGCCCACCTTCAAATCCTAGTTCAAAAATCTTTGCTGTGATAGCTCCAAAATACTTGACAATGCTTATGGTGTGCGGTCATCACTGCCTATCATTCTGACCATGTGGTCTCATTTTCTGACTTAGCGCGCGTTATGTGTGTGTGTATACATCCACACACCCTATATTCATTGGTTATCTCCTATCTTATTTAGACTATAAGTTTATTGGGGCAGCCACTGTTGGTTTTGTTTTGAGTTTGTGCATCAGCTGCTATAATGGAACCCTCATTTTCTTGCTATAGAACCTTTTCACTAGCGGAAAGGAGCTATAAATTAGAATCTGATTGTTTTGTTTTTTTGTTCTACAGGTTTATATTGGTGAGCTTCCCCAGGATTTCTTACGTATCACCCCAACGCAACAGCAGCAGCAGATACAATTGGATGCACAGGCAGCTCAACAGTTACAGTATGGAGGACCGATGGGCACAGTAGGTAGACTCAGCATCACTGTAGTACAGGTATGATTTGTAGCTCTCTTCTAATACATTTGTTAATCTGTTACATCTTCCACCAGTGGCCATCCGAGATCTGGTGCTGAAATTGAAGTTGCTGTGCTAATTGGATATGAGCGATGAGAACAATATTAAAGCAATAGCCATGCTTTGCAGCTAAGCGGCTCTGTGTATTGGTCTCATTATGAAATAGGACCTGCGCACACTGTCCCTAGCAGTGTTTACACACTAAATTGCACGGTATTAACTATAATGCACAGGACTACAATCCCCTATTTAAAATGTCTCATTAGTACTTACTATTTTGGCCACCTACAGTAATTAAGTGGAAATGTGTTTCTGTCATTGCTAAACTATCAGGAGCAGCAGGTTCCATATTTTCTTCTCAAAAGTTATTTTGACGCAAGCTTTTTTTCCCCCCAAATCCAGGAATAAGATCAGTTATGCATATGTAAAATACAATACTCTGTAACTGCAGCTTATAATATTGGGGCTGAATATACAATTGGGGCTGAACTAGAGTATCTCTGGGGATCCTTTCTAGCCCTATGTGTCTGATTCTGTGATGTATATTACAATTGATATGATAATTTTCCCTTTCTCATTTTATTTTAATTGTATTAACATTCAAAGTGATAAGTTTTGGTGTTTCTTGGGTTTGGTGTTTCTGGGATAGGACAGTGTGTGCAGGTCCTATTTCATAATGAGACCAATACACAGAGCCACTTAGCTGCAAAGCATGGCTATTGCTTTAATATTGTTCTCATTGCTCATATCCAGTTAGCATAGCAACTTCCAGTTATTTCTCTGGATAACTACTGTATCATCTTAACTTGCTAAACTTTCCTACAAATTGAAACTTGCATTCCCTTCATTCAACAGTTATCTTGCCATCTAGCATTGGTTAAATAATAGGGATGTCAACATGTAATCAGCTACATGATAAACCCAGGCTTATTGGTTAGTCAGTTAATCTTATCAACTACATGCACTCCCCCCTCCCTTGCTGTCTCTATCAGAAGCAGCAAGGGTGGTGGCGGGAGCCAGCTTTTAAGATGGCTCTTTGCATGTGCTAGCTCCACAGAGCAGTATACCCCTCTCCTTTGCTGCCTTCCACAGAGGCAGCACTGGGGGAATGGGGTGGTGAGTGAGACGGCAACTGGCATGGGCAGGGAGCCGACTCTGCGGAGCTGCCTGTTTATACCTCCTTGCTGCAAAGTGGCAGTGGAGGGGGAACAGGCAGAAACCAGCGCACACAGGGAGCTGGCTTTTAAGCTGGTCCTGAAGCATGTGCCAGCTTCTGTGGAGCCGTTCTCTCCCTCCCTCCCTCCCTTCCTTCCTCTGCTCTTTTCTTCTCCTCTCTTTCTTTCCTCCTCCTCCCCGAGGCAGTAGAGGGTAGGGCAGGCAGGAGCTGAAGCTTGCAGGGAGCTGGTTTAAAAGCCAACTCCCATGGAGTCCCCTCCCTCTACAGATGGGGAGGGGTGATAGGTGGGAGCCGGAACACACAGGAAGCAGCTTTCAAGCTGGTTCTCCTTGCATATCGGCTCCTATGGAGCTGTCCGCCCCCTGTGCTGCTGCCTCGTTATCAAAGGCAGTAGGGGAGGGGCAGGAGGGGAGCTGGTGCTCATGGGAAGCCGGCTCCCTGTGAGCACCACTCCTCCCACCCCCACGTATAAATGTGTAACCACTAAAAATTCAAGGAGTTGCATGTTTACACACATATCCAGTAGCTAACATCCCTGTTAAACTCTTCCCATTTAGCTCCCTATATATGGGGGAGAGTCCTTACACTTGACACAAGGTTAGCGGGAGCTGTTAACATAATTTCAGGGTTTGAGTCAATGTTCCTTCTAATCTTTTTTCATCCATGTGTGGAATAAACTCATGTACAATGAGGCATGTGCACCACCAATAGGAACAAAAAAACTAGCTATGGGTGCTCTGCTAATTAGCTAGGTGGCATTTGAATCTCCTGAGTGACTGCATAAGTGCAGAACTTGTAGGGAACACTGGTTTGAGTACTTTCTAGCTGGTAGACAAAATAAATGATTTTTGGTCCAGCCTTTCAGACAGACTGAAGTGAGAAAAGGCAAGAGCCTTGAAGACCAGAGTTCAGGAGGAACAACAAATTTGATGGACTTTTACCAGACAAAACATTGACTTTTTGGAATCTTAAAATGTTTTGCTGCTTCATAGAAAATAATCTGTGCACATCATTGTTTAGAAGTAATGTGATATATTTTGCTAATCAAACCCCTTGTTAGTTGTATAAATAGCATTTGGTTCTGTCTCAATGTCAATATGACTCTCTTTAAAGAGGAATTTTACTGAGTCTTGTGCTATTAATGCATAAGAATACTGTTAGTCCAAGACTTGCTTCTAGCCAGCCTTTTATTACCTTCATTGCAGACCCTATCCATATTTTGTGTGTGTCTATAATCCAAGGGGAAATGACTTGACAGTAAACTCTCAATCTTTTAGGAAGAGTGAGCAGTGTAAACCATTGTGGCTTGGCTCTGAAGCCTAAGGGTGAGACCCTTTATCAGTACAGCAATATCATGCTAGCAAAGTGCTCTTAATGTACAAAAGGATTATATCAGTAAAACCATTGTGAATCAGAGATTATGCCTCTTCATGTTCCTGACCAGTATAGGTGTGCTGGCAGAAGTCTGTAGTTTAGATACTGCTGTAGGAGCCTCACATCTGATCAGCTTGTTATGAAAACCCTCACAGTAGATGAGGCTCAGGCATTACATGAGGTATGTGACAGTTGTAAGTGATGACAAGGAATTCCAAATCCTTTTAGAGGGGTTGAAGGGTCTAGGTCAGGCATGTCCAAAGTCCGGCCCGCGGGCCAATTGCGGCCCGTGTTCCGGTTTAATACGGCCCCCGCTTCCTCCCCCTCTCCTGGCTCCCCGGCGCTCTTTTGAACTGGCGCGCCCA